CCTGAGCTCCCCGAGCTTCCTGTTTCCTCTCCTTACTTTGTATTCTAAGGTCAGAATTCATCAGTTCGTCACATAATCTTTCGTTTATCGCGTCTTTTTGCTCTTTTTAGCTCGTTTATATTAGAATCTTTTTTTTAATGCTTTTTTAAGCTTTCGTTCGTTAGCGATAATCGCGGTCCGAGCAACGCTTTAAAAGATAATTGCAAAACGTAAGTTATATACGGAACGTATAGAATCTTTTAGCTTATAAAAAGCTTTTTTTTAAACGCATTTTTTACGCATTTAAGCAACTCTTTTACTATTATATTATTTGAAGATGCGTTATCCGTTATAATCGCGATTATCTTTTTTATTAAGCGTAATTTAATAAAGCGTTCGTAAATAATTTTTATTAATTTTTCTTTTATATAATTAAACTTAACGTATATAAATCTAAGTATAAGCTAAATCATATGCTAATCTTCTTTAATTGCAGTTCCGATTATGCATATAAAAAAATAGCGCTTAATAATAAACTAATAATTTAATAAAATGCTAAGTTTTTAATTAATTAATAAACTGTTTAATAAATAGCGATTAATTTTGAAAATCTTATCGTCGAGGTCTCGCTTAATAGTTAAAGCACTAAAGAGCTTAAGATATAAGTTTTATAATTCGCAAAGAGATTTTTAATTCGAGTTATTAATTATTCGAAACGAGCTTCGCGTAAATAATATAATATCTAAAACACTTTTTCGAAATGCTAATTTTAAGTCTTAATGCGAAAGCGTTTTTCGTAATAGATATATCTATTTAATATTAGTTTTATTATTTATTAATCAGATTTATTAATCAGATTTATTAATCAGATTTATTAATCAGATTTACTAATTAAATTTATTAATTAGATTTACTAATCAGATTTACTAATTAGATTTATTAGATTTATTAATCGAATTTATAAATAAAAACAAACGTATTAAATTGCGTTAAAAAGATTTAAATCTTAATTAAGTTTGCCGAAGCTTTTGTTTTGGCTTATTTACGATACGTTTGCAAACGTCCGTTTTTTAATAATCGGCTAATACTTTCGTTTTAAAAGCCTTTAATTTCGGATGCTTTAAAGCTCGGTCGCACTTTTTATAACATACTATAAGCTCTCTTATTGATTTCTTAGCTGCTTAAACGAATCCAATTTATATAAAAAAAGTTTTCTTTTTATTTTAATCGATTCGCAAAGGATTTTGATTAGCTTTTTGTTATTAAGAATATTATAAAGTCTATGACTACTAAGTATTAAAAATCTTAATCTCTTTAACGTTTCAAATATAATATTGATTAAAATATTTAATAATTGCTAATGGTATTAAGCTAAAGAAACTAATTGTAAAGCTTTCGAAATCTTAACTTTAAAATAGATCGGTATCTTCTTAAGTAATTAAAGTAATTTAAAATAAAAAATAATAAAACTTTTTTGTTTTTTTTTTAGACGAACGAACGGTCGAAACGCTTAGTATGTAATAGAAATGCTAAACGAAGAAGAGAGTAATCGTAGCTAGTTAGTTGCAATAATCGAATATCGAGTTAAGCGATTTTTAAATAACGGCTATAAAATTAAGCTATCTATTAAATAGATTAGTAAAAACGAATATTAAGACGGATATTATAAAATTAGTATTATTAGCGAGCAAAAGACTTTTTATATACAAAAGAGAAGTATCGCAAGAAAAAAAAGTAATAAATTCGATAGCTTGCGAAGGCCTTTTGAATTTCATTATTATAAATTAATAAATGAGTTTATATAAATAGTTTTAAAATCGTTATTATATCAAATAAAATATATATATGATTAATTATAAATATAATTAATAAATGTAAATATTAAAATAATTTATTAATAGATTTATATCGATTTTAAATATAGCAAGTCGGTCAATTTTTTTGATTTAAAACTTTAAGATATAACGACCTTAAGCGATTACTTAAAAGAACTTACAAAAGCGCGAGGGTTTATATAAAAGTTTAAAAGAATCTTAAAGTAATAATTTAAAATCAATAACTATCGAGTGTAAAGGTCGAAGATAGCTAAGGTTTATATATACGAAAGTAGAAGCGCTAAAGACTTGTAAACTATAATTTATAAGTTAAAAGCGGGGAATAAGAGAATACAAAGAATACGAAGGAAAAAAAAAAAGTAGCTTGGCGCATGTAAGGTGCGTCTAAGAGACTTGACGTATCGTTATATAAGAAACCGACGATTAGTAAATATAATTAGTAAATGTAATTAGTAAATATAATTAGTAAATATGATTAGTAAATATGATTAGTAAATATGATTAGTAAATATAATTAGTAAATATAATTAGATTTAAGCTAGCTAATAATAATTAAAAGAGTTTACTCGTAAACCGTAGTTTATAAGTCATTTAGCATGCTAAGCTTATTATATTATAGCTTAAAAGACTTTTAACTTAAATAGAAAACTTCATAGTTAGCTAGTGTATTTGATTTCTATTAATTATATAAAAAAAGTTAGCTTTTTTAAACTTTAAAAAGCAGATAAAGTCTTTTGCTATTGCATATTCTTTGCGACTTTCCGAAGTTACAAATATATCTTTCGATCGCGAAAAGCATTTTAATAATAATTAGTAAATAAAATTAATAAATATAATTAATATATATAATAAATAAATATAATTAATAAGTATTATTAATAAATGTAATTAATAAATAAGATAAATAAAAGTATTTTTATAAAATATAAAATTTGTAATTAATCGTGAATTCTATTTTATATAAACTTAAGCATCAAGTTTAAGAATGATCTTAATTCCGTATCGCTATCTTTAACGCCGTAAAACAACTTCGAAGCTAGCTCGTTTTTTTTTTAAATCAATTGCATAACGCGTTGAAATAAAAAAAGATCGCAATTAGCTTTTTTAAATTCAGCATTCTTTTCGAATCCTTTTATATTTTATTAAGCGGCTAAACTCGGCAATTCGTATTCAATCTCATCGGTATTTGCTTTAATTTTAGCTCGCTAATATTTTTTTTTATTAAAAGAAAAGTAGACGTAAGAAAGCTTGATTAAATAAAGATTAAAAGTTATAATATTAGTTTAATTGATTAAAAGCGTAATAAAATGAATTCTTATTTAATTCGTTTTAAAATCGTACTTGCTAAATCTTAAGCTATTAATTTAAAAAAAGCTTTTTTATTTTTTAAATTAGCAGCTCGGCACTTTATTGATTAAGACCGCGCTATACTTTGCTAATAACGACGAAATTGCTAAACGGTCATTATATAGCGTGACTTTATATTATTAACAAAATATAAATATTTAAATAAAATAAAAGCTTACTTATACGTGCTAACGTGCTAATTGCCGAGTAACCTTTTTTATTTCTTTATCGATAATTAAAACGTACTTATCGCGAAATATATTATTATTTTCTTTTTCGTTTTTTCGCAAATTAAATTCTTTATAAACTTTTTTATTTAAATTGAATCTTTTATCAACTTAATTGCTATATAAGTATTTTTTATTATTGAATTTAGCTGCAAAAAAAGCGGCTTGCATACTAAGATTATCCGCGTAAATGCTTCGATTTTTTTTAAAATCGATTAATAAATTGCTTAATAAATTAAAGAAAAGAAAAAGTACCGTTTATTTATAAGATTCTTTCGTATTTCGATTTATCGAGTTTTCTTTTTAGCTTTTAATGCTTAAGAATATTTTAAAGTTTTTTTTCAAATTGCAAAAAGCTGATTAGCGGCCGCTTGATTTCGTCTTTTAGCTTTTCGAAGCTTATTTGCTTAAGGATCTTGTTTTAGCTTTACTATACGAGCATTAGCCCTTATAGTATAAGGATTGGTTAATAATTAGCTTCTCTTTAGCTTTTTTTCTTAAAAAAAATTAATAAATTAGTAAAAGTTAAAATACTACGTAAAAAAAATACTTATTTTACGCTTGCTAAGGTTTCTTAATATCGGATTGCTTGCCGCTACGATTGCCGTCGTATCGGCCGCATTCTAAGAAAAACGTTTTCAATTAATAAATAAATTAATAAATAAGAAAATGATTTTTATTATAGATTTTTTAATCTTTTTTATTAAATCGAGCTGATTTGTATTTGCAATAATACTTTTTATCGAATCAAGCTAATAAGCGGCTATATTAAATAGTATTATAAAAAAGCTAAACGTTAAGAGTAATTGTTTAAAGTAAAATTAAAAGTAATAAAATAAAAGTATTAAAGTCAAAAGTAAATTCGTATATTTTATTTTTAAAACATCTTAGCGCGGCCGCTAATGAATTTACGAAGTAATAAAGCAGTTGCAATTAAGATAAAGCAGCCGTAGCTAAGATAAAGCGGCCGCTTCGCGTAATTTTTACTTTATAAAGTAAAGTTTAATTTCTTTTTATTATTACTTAATAATCAATTACAATTATCGCTTTTTTATTTGCTACGCTTTTAAATACAACGCTATTTATTGCTTTGTAAAGTCGTCTTTTTTTTATTTAAAATTATCAACTTATTAATCGTAAACTAAATTATCGCGATCAAGTTCTTTTATTAAACGAACTTTTGCTTTCGGACCGATTTTTTTCTATCGATATATTAAGCATTACGGCTAAAAAAGATGACGCAAATCAAGATAAGTTAATTAATAAAGCAATTAAAAATCAAGCGATTAAAAGTTAAGCGGCTAAAAGTTAAGCAAATAAGGACGAAGCATAAGAAAGTAAAGCAAATATAATACATAGCGA